ACTTGAACCACTGTTGCTCAGAGCTCAAACTCTTGAGCGAGCTCTTAACCAACTGAGCCACTCAGCCAGCCCTGTTTTTTAACTTTTATGAGAGTTTTTTACATATTCTACTTATTAGTCCTTTGTTGGATATGTGGCTTGCACATATTTTCTCCCAGTCTATAGTTTGTCTTTTCATCCTCTACACAGGCTTTCACAAAGTAAAAGTTGTTAATTTCGATTAGGTCTTATTTATTCACTTTTTTCTTTTATAGATAGTGCTTTTGGAGTTATCTAAAAACTCTTTGCCTGGCCCTAGAGCTCAAAGATTTTCTCCTATTTTTTTCTACAAGCTTCATAGTTTTACATTTTATATTTAGGTCTGTAACCTGTTTTTAGTTAATTTTGGCATACGGGAGGAGATTTAGGTCAAGGGTCATATTTTTTGCCTATGGATATCCAACTGCTCCAGTACCCTTTGAATTACTATTTATTTTGTGTTCAAATTGCCTCAGTTTTGGCCAGTGGAAGCCCCTTTTGCTGGCTTCTGCTCCAGGGTAATTTTGAATAGGCACCATGTTTGTCTTATTGGCTTACTTTGGAAACAAATCCCTAAGTAAGATTCACCTGTACTGTACTTACTATCTTAATACCGAAGATGAGTTAAGCTTGAGTTGGGTGAGATTTCTCTAAGTGCAGTGATGAAGGGAGGGTCTCCTGCTCTAGAATCCTTTGGAATCTGATGTTCTAATGCAGTTCTTAAATTTCCCGAAGCTCCAAAGGTTGGTCCTATTTATTTAGAAACAAGATCAGTTTCTCTTAGCCTGGGGGATGGGGGTATCACTGTTCTCCTTATTCTTAGTACATCATAAAGCCAAGAACTACATTAAAATTTTGAAAAGACAATTGGCACTCCACCCAACAACTGCAGAGTTTTGAAATACATGAAGCAAAATCTAACTGAACTAGAGGGAGAAATAGTCAAAGGCACAATCATAGTTGGATACTTTAATACGCTTCTCTCAGTAATTGATAGCACAACTGGATTCCCCCCAAAGTATAAGAAGTCAAAAATCTGAAAGATACTATCAACAAACAAGACCTAATTGTCATGTATAGAGCGATATCCAACAACTGCAGAATACACGTTTTTTTTTTTCAAGTGCTCAAAAAACATTCAGCAAAGGCAGGCCATGTGTTAGGATACAAAACAAGTCTCAATGTAGTTTAAAAGACTGAACTCTTACGCTTTGTTTTCTGACCATAATGAAAGTAAATATGAGCTACCTGGTAATAAAATGACTACATAGTAAACATTGTGGAATGAAGGAAAGCAGTACTTACAGGGAAAGTCTTAGACTGTTGGAGAAGAAAGGGGTTGAAAATCAATTATCTAAGCTTCCCCATTAGGAAGCTAGAAAAAGAAGGGCAAATTAAATCCACAGTAAGTAGAATGAAGGAAATAATAATAACAGAAATAAATGAAACAGAAAACAGATGAAAAACCTAGTTCTTTGAAAAAGATCAATAAAATTGGTAAACTTTTAGCTATACTGATCAGGGACAAAAACTGCAGAGGATATGAGTTAGTATTATTGGGAATTTTTTTTTAAGTTGGGAATAAATCTATATAGAGTATAGAATTTAAAAAATAAGGGACTATTGTGAACAATTTTGTGCTAATAAATTTAACAAGTTAGATGAAATGGACAAATTCCACAAGTCACAAAACTAATACAAGAAGAAATAGAAAATGTTTAATGGCCCTGTATCTACTAAAGATATTGAAAATATGATTTAAAACTTTCCTACAAAGCAAATTTCAGGCCCAGATAGCTTCATTGCTGACTTGTATCAAACTTTCAAGAAAGACATAGTACTGATCCAACACAAACTACACACAGTATAGAGCAGGTGGGAATAGTTCCCAGGACATTTTATGAGGCCAGTTTTATTCTGATAGCAAAACCAGTAAAAGACATTATAAGAATAGAAAACTACAAACTAATATCCCTTATGAACATGCAAAAATTCTTAATAAAATATTGATACATTAAACTCAACAATATAGAAAAAGAATAATACATCATAACCAAGTGGAGTTTTCCCCCAGGATTAATTTAACATTAGAAAATCAATAAGTATAATTTTTGGTAGTAATAGGACAAAGAAAAAAATCATATAATCATCTCTGTTGTGCAGAAAAAGCATTTGACAAGATTTAACAACCAGTCCCAATTAAAATTCAGAAAAGTAGAGAAAGAAGGGAACTTCCTTTACCTGATATGGGCATCTATGAAAACCCCACAGCTAACATTATACTTAATGATGAAAGTCTGAAATTCTTTCCTCTAAGTTCAAGAACAAGGCAAGAATGTCTGCTTTCAGCACTTCTATTGAGAATTATCCTGAATGCCTTAGCCACTGCAACAGGCAAGAAAAAGAAATAAAAGGCACAAGATTGGAAAGGAAGAAGTAAAATTTCTTTATTTGAAGACAATGTGATTGTTTACATGAAAAGCCCTATGGGAGCTACAAAAATAGTTACTGGTACCATTAAGTGAATTTAGCAAGGTTGGAGGAAGATACAGGGATAATATACATAAATCAATAGTATTTCTATCTACTAGCAATGACAGATGACAGATTTATTTCTATTTTCAATATCATCGAAAAACATTAAATTCTTTGGGAGAAAGAAAGAGGTTTGTCCAGAGGCAGTGGGGATATGAGAGAGGAAATGATTAAATCTGTGACGAGAAGTGATCTGGAGGGATTTCACACACAGTGACATCTGTGTTGAGTGTTGAAAGACAAGAAACTTCCCAACAATCAAGGGAATCACAGTCATCCCAGGCAAAAGAAAGAACGTAAGCAAACATAGACTAGGATACAGGTACTAGAGACGGTATGGCACCCATGGGAACCTGTAGTAGTTCTGTGTGATGTGATCATGCGAGGAGGGACAGCAGCCTGAGAGAGGCTAAATGCAGGCCTCACTAGGAAGGACCCTGTGTGTCTTGCCAAGGCACCTGTCCTTTATCCTGTAGCTCTTCTGGTGGGTTTCAAGTGGGAGACACACGGGAATACTGCGTTTCAGCAGTTGGGGGTGGAAGAGGAGTGAATTTGGCCCTCTGGCCTTGCAGCTATTCGTGTTGAGTTCAGCTAACGGTAGAGAGCCACCAAAGGCAGGATGCTGTCTGGCTGCTGCTTAGGAAGGAGCCGTGTTTCACCAAGAAACCCCTATTCCTGGATGAGGTGCATCCAGTTCTCACTGACCCGCCCAGAACCTTGCGCCCTGCTTTGGTGCTGTTGATGGTGGTGACCATCACATCTATTACGAGAATAGCACGGTAGCTGCGGTAGGTATAGCCCAGCAACTGGTACCCAACTTACTAGTGGCAAGGCACCCAGCTAGGTGAGGAGACGCCTGGAAGGGAGAGCAATATTGTGTTCCAGGCTCAAGGCACAGAGGTGGATGGCTGTACCTCTGGCTGGCATCATCAGTCTCTGGGAAGTGCCTAATCATTTCACCAAGGAATGGGGGTGAAGATAGGAAGTTTTCCAGTCATTCATCTAGTTAGGGCTCAGACTTACATTGCTGATTTTCTAATCCTTATTGTATCATTATCCTCCATATCTGACTATAGGCTATATTATTATTATTTTTTTAAGATTTTTATTAGGGAATTTGGGGATGGGAACAGCGCTGGAGAATTGGGGGAAAGGGAACAGACAAGTTCCTGTCCTTTTGTTCTTCAGTCTAGTTGTGGAGGACATTGCTTCACTGGCCCAAGTTGGCACCATCATTGCGCTCTTCCCGGGCGAGGCAGATCAGTTGCCGGCTTCTAGACGGCCGCTCACGCTGGCTGCTGGCTACACACGGTAGCCCATGGCAACCCACTGCAGCAGGAGTTGCAGCCTACGCCAGCGCCGGCGACTCACAGCAGCCCAGCTCCAGGTCAAGCTGTTTTTCAGCATCTTAGCTGTGGAGGGCAGTGTCACTGGCCCTCATATGTGGGATGAACCGGGGCCCTGCTGCTCAGAGCTGGTGTCCCAAGCCAGCTCTTAACCAACGTGCCACTCAGCCGGCCCGGCTACATTATATGAAGTTGTACATTCCTAGGTCCTCACAGGGAAAGAAGGAAACAGACCTGGGTTTGTATGTTTGTCTCTGCTACTTAGCTGTATAACCCTCAGGTAAATAACCAATGTCCTGAACTCCAGTTTCACATCTGTATATTGGAGATGATAATGTTTACCTGATTGGGTCACTGTGAAAACTAAAGATATGTGAAAGCACTCAAAATACTCGTAGCACATAGTAGGTTCTCTTATAGTATCTTCCCTTCTTTAGCTTCTACTGTAGGTTATCCTACGTATTTGCTTTTCCAAACAAAGGTTGCTTTTTACTTTATGACTTAAGGTTGAAATCTTCTCTACCACTTCCCTGTCCACCTTGGATCTGAAAACATTTTCCACGATGTCCTCAGTTATGCGCATGTGGCATCTGGATATTTTAAGAGGATACAGAAACTGACAATGTTTATGTTATACAAGATGTATAAATGGTCAGTGAAGTGAAAAGGTAAACTATGCCTGTCCTTAAAAGCTAAGATTTAGATCTTCTTAGGTAAAGCTGAGATTCCCTACTTGATCCTTTATCTTCTCCCAACCCTTCTGCAGGACGTCATTGACTTAACGAGAGAAACCAGACCAAGGGCAAAAGATCGCAATGGACTCTGTATAATTGACCTGACAGGGACTGAGGAAGAAAATAGACCTATTGCCACTCTTGATTTGACTCAAGAAGCTGTGGCTCCCTCCCAGAAGGTGCCAGCCAGTCTTCAAACATGTGCCAGCCTCTCCAGCAAAGAGGTGATGGAAGGACGGGTGGACAGAAGCTCCTGGCCCACAGCAAGGAGAGTCATTAACAGTGATCCTGTGGATGTGGACCTTTTGGAAGAAACCATATTTGAAGGTCCCCAACCCCCTACATCCGTCAGTGGGGACTCTGTTTATCCAGCAGAGCCAAACTGTAGCTCAACCACATTCAAAGGTGGCCTCGGCTTTTTGGCCAGCCTAAACAGAACATCTTCAGATGTTCACTCCCTTTCCCCAACAAGCAATAATGAGAACAGCAGCAATCGGAGGGCACCCTTGCCATGCCCACAGCAAGATGTGCCTTGCCCACCACAAGCCTTGCCATGCCCACCGCGAGCCTCCTCATGCCCGCCACGAGCCTTGTCATGCTCATCACAAACTGTGCAGTGCCCACTACAAGCTTTGCCTCACCTGCCTCAAAAAGTGCCATGCCCTTCTCAAGATGCGTCATGCCCTCAGAAAAATATCCCAAGCCCATCTCAAGACTCATCATGGCATCCTCAACACTCGCCAAGGCCACCTCAAGACTCACTCTGCCCACCTCTGGGCCTACCTCAAGATGTACCAGGCCCATCTCAAAACATGTCATATCCACAAGGTGTGGCACACTTTCAGAACATAGCACAGTCACAGGGAGACATGTCACTGTCAGCTGCAGACGTGTCACAGTCTCCAGGAAACGTGTCACCGTCTCCAGGAAACGTGTCACAGTCATCAGGAGACGTGTCACGGTTACCAGGAGACATACCTCAGTCAACAAAAGATATGCCTCAGTCATCAGGAGATGTGCCACAGCCACCTAGAGATGTGCCACAGCCACCAAGGGATGTGCCATGGTCACCAAGAGATGTGCCACGGTCACCAAGAGATGTGCCACAGTCCCCTAGAGAAGTCCCACACTTACCAAGAGAAGTGCTTCGTTCACCTGGAGACAGGCCTCACATGCCAGGAGACTCGACACACTCACTTGGAGACTTGCTTCACTTACCACGAGACAGGTCTGACTGTTCCCGAAATGATATGGAGAACCCTGACCCCGCTATGGATGTCTCAGCTCCACCCTCTCTGAGCTGCACACCCAGGACACTGTCTCCACAGTCTGAAACTTCCTCAGAGAAAGTTCCTTGGCTCTTTGCCACAAAAACCCCAGCCAGAAAAGAGACATCCCTGTCAGAGCCTGCCATCCCCGGGTCTGGCCAGGTGCAAGCCCGAACCCCACAAGGTACCCACAGTTTGTACAACAAACCATGCCTGCACCGACTGAAGTACTTCTTACGGCCTCCCGTTCATCACCTCTTCTTCCAGACGCTAGTACCCGATAGAGACACCAGAGAGGTGAGCTAACCTGTCTTCTCCTAGGGATTAGAAGGCCTTCGCACAGGCCTAGCGTAAGGTTCGTATGCTGGGAGGAGTCCACACACAAGAAAACAGGTCCAATATAAACGTGACCTTTTCATCTTTCCCCCGCTTGGGGAACCGTTCAGCTATAATCAGATCTGGGTTCAAATTTCAGCCCACACTGAAAAGCCGGCACTGCAGAGGTCACGTCGCCTTTCTGAGCTTTAGCTCTGCTGTCTGTCAAATGGGGGTAAGAACATACCTCACACAATTGTTCGATGAGACGACATTACGTGACGTGCCTGTTAGCGCGTCTGGCTCATCGTAGGCCAATACTTCACTTCCTACGTCTTTCCCTTCATGACGCCCTAATTGCAGCGCCCATATAACAGAAATAGGAATACTCTTGACACTTCGGTGCCTCCAAAATGATTATTCTCTGACTTTTGGAGAGGAAATTCAATTTTAAGATTCTAGTGGGAATGCTACCTCCCGTTGGTCTTCACTGATCTACGAGAACGAAGCCAGACACGTAAGAAAAGAACCTGTGGCTCGGTCCACGGTATGACGCTGTTCTCATTATCCATAACCACAATGCCCACATTCAGACATTGGCTGGAAGTGGCTTGGGAGATCACAAGGCGCATCCTCCTTGTTGAGCCCTCAGTCATCCACCTTAGCACGTCAGGGTTCACCTCGATTGGGCCTGGGAGAGTGAGTGGTTTTCTCTGGTTTTAATTGTTGTTGTATCTTCTAGTATGTTTATGTCTTCTTCTGAATGACTCTCCCCAGCCCCTAGCCTGTTCTCTTTATTCCCGTGGGTTTGCCTCAGGTTGGTGATCTGTCTGTCTGTTCATTATCAGGAGTGCTTGGGGGACATGAAAGAGTTTATGTTCCCCTGGTCATGGCTGTAGGCTTTGTAGGTGCCACACGACTAGAGAAGCTGTCAGGAGCAGATGGGGAGACCACGTCCCTCTTCTCTGTCCCCATAGCTGAGATTGTAAGGTGCAGTTAGGCTAGACAAAGTGGATTTTTCTTCTGCATCTATTTCTCACCTTCTCACCTCAGCTATCTAGACTACACCTGTACATCTTTTCTGTCTCTCCCATGATTTCTTTGGGGCCTTTAACAAGCACTTCTTCACTAGGTCACTTTCCCCCACAACTTCTCAGCCAGTCCCCACACTGCCACTTACCAGCCATTGGCCTTAACTCCTCAGAGTCTTTTTGTTTAGCTCTAAAATAAGTCATAATGCCCACATCACAGAGTCATTTGACTTAAACACATAAAGTGCAAAGCACCTTCAGGACCTATGAAAGTACTCCATAAATATCAGTTCCCTTAAGAGTATAGGCATCAAAACATTAACTTTATCTGTCTATAGATGTCCCCACCTGATGTCCCCATCTGTAGGCAGGAAACGAGTAATACAGGTTCAAGACTGTGAAATGCATCACATGTGAAACAGTCACCAAAGCAAGACTTTTGTTCTTACCTTCTCTCACTCCTCATGACCTGCCACTTTCCAGCACTGGTCTCATCAGCAAGGTCTGGGGTTACCCTCAGGTGATGTGAGACAGCAGGAGAGCTGACTGGACTCTGTCCTCCAGGAGACTTTCTGAAAAGGCAAATCCAGCCGTCAGTGTTTGTGACACATAAGCTGTCACGTCTTCATTTGGCTGATGTTGTAACATTAATACGTATTCTCAGATTTTAAAAATAATGCTTGCTTAATATAAAACATTTTAAAATATAAAATATAAAAAATAATTACCCATGATGCTATCTATCAGTCAGCATTTATTATTATTAATAATTGGGAGTATTTCCTTCCCGTTGCCTTTTTATACATATGCATTTAAAAACTTTTAACAATTCGGTTTTGTATTATCGTTGGTGTTGTTTATATATGTATTATTGTTGGTGTTGTTTATAGAGAGTACGCATTTACAGGATAGCTCTGTAGTGACGCCACCGATAGATGCCAGCTTCTGCCATTCGTGCATGACAAATGCTTACTTTCTAAATCTCAGTGTCCTCATCTATAAAACAGAAATGATAATAGTATGTATTTCTTAGGATTGTTGTGAGAATTGAGGATAAGTTAAATGTTTAAAAATTGTTTTATAATTGTTATATTCCTATATCAAACAAACTTTTTAATGTTTTTCTTCTGATTGCGAAAGTAATATATGTGAAAGTAACATATATTTTCACAATGGAAAAATTGAAAAATACAAAAAATATATAGAAGAAGAATATCAATCATAATTCCACCACCCAGATAATAGAAAGCTGCTTTTCAAATATTCTGTCCCAGGCTTCATACACACACTTTTGTGGGGGAGAAATCAACTTAATATTTACTGTTGATTCAAAAAAAAATCAACATAATGGGATTCTCCTCCTAACAATAAAACATATTTGAAACATTTTTCTTTATTTCAGTATGTGATATACTATTACGAACACCCCTAAATATCTTATCACCTTCACTCCAAAATCAGTTTAGGCTAGCTCTTGACTCTTGACTTTCTTTCTGTGCTGCATTTTAACACAGATGAAATCATGTTATATGTAAAACTTTGAATGCTTATTTTTAAAAATTTAATATAAGCATTTTCCCATGTCACGAAAAGCTTTTTAGGTAAGACTTTCCAGTCTCTTTTTTTTCTTAGTGAATATTTCAAATGCATGGAAAACTTTGCTATCTTCAGCCTGTTCCAGAGCCTCTTGTTTTCCTCTGTAGAAACCCATCCTAATTTATTTCTTTTTATCTCTACAGAGCAAGGGTCAAAAATTAGAACCCATCCCTCATCGAAGACTAAGAATGGTAGCAAATACCATTGAAGAAAATTTTCCCCTGGGGACTGTGCAGTTTTTGATGGACTTTGTGTCACCCGAGCATTACCCACCCAGAGAAATTGTGTCTCACATCATCCAGAAAATCCTGCTCAGTGACTCTGAGGCTGTGGATATCCTAAAGGAGGCCTACATGCTTCTCATGAAAATTCAACAGTATGGACCTTCGATGTTGGCAAACCTCCTAGGGAACCCGGACTTGGGGCACAGCTTTCTCTCGCCTAAGCTTGATTCAGCTAACCATTAGAGAGGGTGACTTAGTATACTAGTGTTATTGGAATTGCAAGTGACAGGAAACCCAATCCAAACTGCCTTTAACAGCTAGTAAAAGAGAACTTAATGACCCATGTTACTAGGAATAAGACATGACTTAATTCAGTTTGAAAACAGTTACAAGGATCCATTTTTCAGCTCTGCGTTGCTTCAGTTTCCAGGCTCCACATGGCAGCCATCTCAGCCTCTAGCTTTTGTGATACTCTCAGGGGAAGAGAAAGTCTGTTTCCCTTATAATCACACGAAGTTCTGAAATCGAGTCGTGTAGGCTTTCATCGGCATAATATAAGACACGAGCCTGTCTTTGAGCCAGTCACTGTGAACTGAAGGGCAGAGTATCATGACTGGCTTCATGCCAGGGTCCTGGTAGGGCAAGCCAGGAGGCTGACTAACAAAAAGTTGATTTCTTCAAGGTCGAACTGGGGCACTAATGCCTCCAAAAGAGGTGTGGATACTGGGTAGCAAAATAAAATATGAAGTCCCACTGCTCTCAGATGCCATGGTATTGTAAAGGGTGGGGTGAGAACACTGAGGACAGGGAGGCTTCCTTCGTTTGTCACCTTCCAGATCCCATCCCCTCTCCCACTAAACTCTCCGGAAGGCTAATCGATGTCACTTGACTTTCAGGCTACATCCAGCTAATGCCAAGACAGTGGAATGGGACTGGAAGCTGCTCACTTATGTCATGGAGGAAAAGGTAATATAACAATTATGAGGGTGTATCTTTTGCAGAGGAAGTTTCAACTAGAAACAAAAGTAATAGCAAATCTAGGTGTAAAGTCTTTGTCATTATTCCCTTCTTATACTCTCATTCTCACCAAAAAATTCCTATTGACATGGCATGTGCTGTCTTCCAATTCAAGATTGAATACACTCACTTATCCCTCTCCTTGAGATCTCATTAAAAATCATAGTAAATGAGTAGAGGAAGTTATAAATCCATGGCAGTGAAAATAGGAGGAAGGACAATAGATCTGAATGAAGGTCAGAAGATCCAAAGGCAATGTAACTGATGACTGATGGTGTTGGGCAGAGAAAGCCAGAGGCTAGAATACATGTGGGAGGGGCTGAAGCCAAGGAGAGAGGACATCTGCCCAGTAGAGCAGAGAGCTTTTGGACTCAGAAACACAATATTTAAGAGCGTTGGGGTCGGATATGGGCTGTAAATTTGTTGAAAGTTTGTAGATGGAACTGACAACTTCTCCTTTTTTGAATACAGAAAGTTCAGTTGCAGGTTACCTATCCTTCAGGCCAAAAGCCAAAGGATTCATTTATTTTCTAAAGAAATTGAATGAACCATTTGTTATACATGAAGGCAGCTAGTGCAGAGTTGGTACGCCAGAAAAAAATTCTTCTGCATTCTGACCTTTAGGGATCCCTAAACTTGCCAGCTTTCTGTCTGCTCACCCCCAAAGCACTTAGATGGAAGAAATTATTTTCAACTTATAGTTCTATACTCAGCTAAATGATTAGTCAAGTGCGAGGGGAGAATGAAGACATTTCCAGACATATAGGAACTTGAAAAATATCCCCACACCCTATTTCTTATGAGGTTACTTGAAGATATGCATCAAAAGAATGGGAGAATAATAAAAAAAGAAGGAGGCACAGGATCCAGGGAGCACTACATCCATTCCAGGAAAGTAAGATTAAAGTAAGACTAGTGGACCCAGAGAGCAACCAGTCCAGACTGCAGTGAAATAACATAGGACTTGAAGGAAGACGATTTGGGAAACATCACCGAGATGGTAGACGAGGAAGTTCCAGGCCCTTGTTGCCCCATGGAGACACCAAGTTAACAACAATATATGGACCAGAACACCTTTGTGAAAACTATAGAGACCAGTTGAGAAGGTAGAGTTCTCAGGCCAATGTATAACCAAGAAGGGACTCCATTGAAAGCCTGTGGTATTTTGTGTCCATACCCCTTCCCCTATCCGGCATAGGACAGTGCAACTCGGAGGAAATCTCCCATACTCCAGCTCCTTCCTCAGGATGGGAACAAAAGAATGGTCTTTGAGTCCAGTGTTCTGGCTGATTAGGGGGCTGCCCAAGGGATGGTTTCTGTCATGCCTGACTCAGCACTGATGGGAACAGTGGCATAGTTGGAAGCTGCTGAAAAGAGAGGTTAGCACTATGGCATGTTAGAGTTGCAGAGAGTATGCAGTTCCACAGGCAGGTACCAAGGGAGTAAAAGACTGCGGGCTCCTGAGAAGAAATACAGGCAAGCCACTCGGGAAATTAACACAGACGAAAGCAAATACACAAGCTGTGAGAACACACATCCCCAGAAAAGGTCTGAGAGGTCCCAGAGCCTCTGTCCAGGCTGGTTGGTTAGAGTCTCGCTCTCCACAAACTCAATGGATAAAGATTGGGAAAGGTGGTTGTTTTTTCCAAATGCATAAAACTACAAGGCATACAAAGAAACAGGGAAATGTGGCTCAATCAAAGGAACAAACTAAAGTTCCAGAAACTGACTCTAAAGAAACACAGATTTCTCAACTTTCTGACAAAGAATTTTTAAAACTACCTTAAAGATGCTCAAGGAGCTAAAAAAAGAAGAAGAAGAAGAAGAACACAGACAATTAAATGAAGCAGGAAAATGATGCATGAACAAAATGGGAATATTAAACAAACAAAAAACTATAGGAAAGTATCAAACATATTCTGGAGCTGAAAAATATAATAACTGAACTGAAAAATTCACCAGAGGGGTTTGGCAGACTTGATCAAGCAGAAGGAAAAAAAATCAGTGAACTCGATGAAACGTCATTTGAAATCACTGAAACAGAAGCAAAAACAGAATGAAGAAAACTGAATAGAGCCTAAGGGACTATGGGACACCATAAGTGAACCATATACGCAGCATTTGTGGGAGGCCCAGAAGGAGAAGAGAGAAAGGAGCAGAGAGCTTATTTGAAGAAATAATGACTCCAAGCTTCCCAAATCTGAGAAAAGACATGGACACACAAATTCAAGCTCAGCTCCAAGAAGGATAAGCCAAGAGACCCATACCAATACACATTATAATTGAACTGTCAAAAGTCAAAGACAGAGTCCTGAAAGTAGCAAGGAAAAAAATGACTCATGAAATACAAGAGAGCTTGTATAAAATTATCAGCAGATTCTCAGTGAAACCTTACAGGTCAGAAGGTAATGGGATGATGTATTCCATGTGCTGAAAGAAGAGAGCTGTCAATCAAGAATACTATGTCTGGCAAAACCGTCCTTCAAAAATTAGGGAGAGAAGTGACACATCACTTATGAGATTCCCTAATAAGATTATCAGCAGATTTCTCATCAGAAAGTTTAGAGGCCAGAAGGCAGTGAGCCAATATATTCAAAGTGCTAAAGAATAAAACTCAACCAAGGCTTCTATATCCGGAAAACTGTCCTTCAAAATTGAGGGAAAAATAAAGACATTCCCAGATAAACAAAAGCTGATGGATTTCATTACCACTAGTACGGCCCAGCTAGAAATGCTAAAGGGAATCCTGCAGAATAAAATGAAACACTAAACAGTAATTTGAAGCCATATAAAGAAATAAAGATGTCAAAGGTATACATGTGGGCAATCACAAAGTGACTATTATTGTAATAATGGTGTGTAACTCACATTTGGTTTTCTATATGATTTAAGTGACTAATACATTTTTAAAAGTTATTCTAAAAGCTAGGATTGTAACTTTGTAACTCCACATTTTGTTTTCTACATCATTTAAATGACTAATGCATTTAAAAGATTTATTAGTTTGTTTTGGGACACAATGTATGAAAATGTAGTTTTGTGACATCAACATCCAAAATGGATGGGGAGAGAGCTATGAAGGAGCAGAGTTTTTTATGTTAGTATGTTGTTTGTTTTTGTATGTTATTGAAGTTAATCTGGTATAAATTCAAATTAGATTATTATAACTTTAGAATGTTAAATGCAGTCCCTATGGTAACGACAAAAAAATAGCTATAGAATATACCCAAAAGGAAATGAAAAAGTAATTTAAACATTTCAGTACAAAAAAATTAAAGAAAAAAAGCCAATAATGCAGGAAACGAGGGACAAAAGCTATAAGGCATTTAGAAAACAAATAGCATAAGAACAGAAGTAAGTCCTTCCTTATCAGTAATTGCTTTAAATGTAAATGGATTAAACTCTCCAATCAAAAGACAGAGATTAGCAGAATGTATAAAAACACATGATCCAACTACATGCTGTCTACAAGAAAGTCACTTTAGATCCAAAGACACAAGTAGATTGAAAGTAAAAGGATGGGAAAAGTATTCCAGGCAAATAGTAGCCAAAAGAGTATAGGTGACTATAATAATATGAGATAAAATAGACTGTAAATCAGAAAATGTTACAAGAGAAAAAGGACATTATATATTAATAAAAGCTTCAATACAGCTAGAAGATATAACAGTTATAAACATTTATGCACCTAATGACGGACCATCAAAATATGAAGCAAAAACTGACAGAATTGAAGGGAGATTTTAGTACCCCACTCCCAATAATAGATAGAACAGCCAGACAGCAGATACATAAGAAAAGAGAACACAATGAAGCAACCAGATCTGACAGTTATATATAGAATATTCTACCCAGCAACAACAGTATACACATTCTTCTCCATGCATATGGGACATATTCTAGAATAGACCATATGTTAAATCATAAATTAAGTCTCAGTAGATTTTAAAAGATAGATATCATACAGAGTATCTTTATTCTAAGAAGCCAGCATCACCCTGATTTTATCAAAGCCAAAGACACCACAAGAAAACTACAGACCAATATCCTTTATGAACACTGATGCAAAAATCCTCAGCAAAATCCTCAGCAGCATATCTTAAGGATTATGCACCATGACCAAGTGGGATTTATCTGGGAATACGAGCATGGTTCAACATACACCAATCAATCAATGCAATACATCACATTAACAGAATAAAGGACAAAAACCACATGATCATTTCAATTAATGCAGAAAACACATTTGACAAGATTCAACACCCTTTCATGAGAAAAACTCTCAACAAACTAGGAACATAAGAAAACTACCTCCTAAAAGCCCTGTATGAAAAACTCACAGCAAACAACATACTCAACAGTGAAATACTGAAAGCTTTTCCTCTAAGGATTCCACACAGAGAAACTGTTAGAACTAATAAACACATTCATCAAAGTTACAGGATACAAAATCAACATGCAAAAATCAGTTGTATTTCTATATACAAACAATGAACAATCTGAAAAGAAAATTAAGAAAATAATTCCATTAACAACATTAAGAATAATAAAATACTTAGGAGTAAACCTAACCAAGGAGATGAACAACTTGTACATTGAAAACTACAAAACATTGCTGAAAGAAAGTAAAGACATAAATAAATGGTAAGACATCTTATGTACATGGATTGGAAAACTAAATATTGTTTTGTTTTGTTTTTGTTTTTTTTAGCTGAGCCATCCTGCTACCTGTTGGCAGCTCAGCGGCTGCTCAGCTCGGGCTGGACTCGAACTGCTGTTGCTCAGAGCTCAAGCTCTTGAGCGAGCTCTTAACCAACTGAGCCATTCAGCCGGCCCACTAAATATTGTTAAGATGTCAAAAGTACCCAAAGCAATCCACAGGTGCAACACAATCCCTATCAAAATCCTAACAGCATTTTTTGCAGAAATAGAAAAATCCATCCTAAAATTCATATGTAATCTCAAAGGACCCTGAATAGCCAAAACAATCCTGAAAAAGAACAAAGTTGAAGTACTCATACTTCTTAATTTTAAAACATATTACAAAGCTACAGTAATCAAAACGTGTAGTACTCTCACAGAGCCAGACACAGGATAGAATACAGAACCCAGAAATAAAACTTTGTGAATTCGGCCAAGTGCTGGTCATCAAGGGCGCCAAGACCATCCAATGGGGGAAGGATAATCTCTCCAACAAATGCTATGGGAAAACTATACACATGCAGAAGAATGAAGTTGGACCCTTACCTAAGGCCATATGCAAAAATTAACTCAAACTGGAACAAAGATATAAACATAGACCCAAATTATAAAACTCTTAGGAGAAAACACAGGGGGAAAGCTTCATGACATTGGATTTCGCATTGATTTCTCTGATAATGATACAAAAGGCACAGGCAAAAAAAGCAAAGATAGACAAATGGGACTACATCAAAGTTAAAAACTTCTGTGCATCAAAAGGCACAATCAAGAGTGAAAAAGCCACCGACAGAATGATACAGAATATTTTAAAATCATATATCTGATAAGGGGTTAATAGCTGATAAGGGGTTAATATCCAGAATATATAAAGAACTACAACTCAACAACAACAAAAGCCAAATAATCTGATTTTAAAAAGGGCAGAGGACTTAGACATTTCTCCAAAGATGATAGACAAATGGCCAACAAGCATATGAAAATATGCTCAACATCACTGATCATTAGAGAAATGCAAATCAAAACCATAATGAGATATTACCTCACACCCGTCAGATGGCTACTATAAAAAAATTTTTTTTAAGAGAAAATAAGTAGTGGCAAGGATGTCGAGAAATTAGAACCCTTGTTCACTGTGGATAACACTGTAAAATGGTGCAACCACTATGGAAAACTGTATGGTGGTTCCTCAAAAATTTAAACATAGAATTACCATATGGTCCACCAATCCCACTTCCGGGTATATAAGCCATAGAAGTGAAAGCAGGACCTTGGAGAGTTATTTGCATGCCGTGTTCATAGCAGCATTATTCACAACAGCTAAGAGGCGGACGCAACCCAAGTGTCCATCTACATATCACAGCAGAGACAAATATGCTATATACTCACAAGGGGATTTTAATTCTGCTCTAAGTAGGAAGGAAATCCTCTGACATGCCGCAACACGGATGGCAGCATAGTGAGGACATTACACCAACTGCGAAAGCCAATCACAAAAAGACAAACACTGGTTTGACTTACATGGGGTATCTACAGTAGTCAGAGTCATGGAAACAGCAGATGGAATGTGGACAAGTGGTTGTGGAGAGGGGTGTCACTGGAAGACTTTCTTTCATCATAAATCTAGCACAAGTACTTGATTTTTTAAAATCAGATCAATTAATAAAGATCAGAGGGGAAAATAGACATATTTGGAAGGCAAGATATCCCATCCCCACTTCCTCCAAAAAAAAAAAAAGAAGGAAATGGTAGGTCCTTAGAATGGTCATTTTTTCTGCAGACCAGACCGTACCCTGCTCCATGAGTTTATGTTCCCAGAAAACATGCCTCCCCGATGGGGTTCGAAAAGTTCCCAACAGAGCCCAGAAAGAATTCGGTGCCTTCTTTCCTGGAAGCTGCAGAGCCTGACCTCCTGGGCCGGGATCCCGGCACTTGTCTCCTGGTTAAGGGAAACCAGCAAACTGCAGGCCTGCCTGCGGAGTAACAGGCACTCATGCTGGCCTTGGTGAGAATTACCACCAGGTAAATCACAGGGACCGTGAGGCTCAGAAGGGGTGAGTTAAATAAGGGGCTTCAAACAAACAAACAAGAACAAAGAAAGGTCTGTGCCACCAAGCGCATGCTCTCTGCCTGTGTTACTTGGGCTTTATCAGTTTGGATCATTTCACCTGTAACAGAAAACCCAACTCAGACTTGCTTGCACAGTAAACATAGGCATCAGCTCACATTCCTAGAAGTTCAGCAGAGTGGTAGGCATCTTGGTTGCTTGATCCAGCAGCTCAGCAGGGTCACTTAGGAACCAGTTCCTGTCTCTGTTCTGACAGCCACAGTTTGGGGTTTATTCTGACACTGATAGTCAGGGTTAGTGAGAGTGTGACTGCCCTCTGGCTGTCTCTCCAAATCAGACAGTCTGTGGTCCTGAGCCTCTGGGCTCTACGATCGCTGTTTGCCCTCTTTTGTAAAGACCTAGGCTGTGGGCTGGCTGAGTGGCTCAGTTGGTTAAGAGCTTGCTCCAGAGTTTGAGCTCTGAGCAACAGCAGTTCGATTCCTGGCCCGAGCTGAGCAGCCGCTAAGCTGTCAACAGGTGGCAGCATGGCTCAGCTTAGAAAAAAAAAAAAAAAGACCTAAGCTGCCTACACTATCCCTTTTAGGTACAGATGCGCGTGTTGGCTCACGGCCTTCCTTTGGACTTAGTATTTTTGAGAGCCCACTGCTCGCTGTCACCCAGGAGATTGACAGGAAACACCTCCTTCTCATTTCGTCTCCCACAGGGACAGCATCTGCCTGGACGACTCCTGTTTCTGCGCTACGTAGTCCAGACCCTGGAAGATGACTTCCAGCAGATACTGAGGAAGCAGCGACAGCACCTGCAGCAATCCATTGCAAGCACCATGCTGTCCTGTGACAGGCAGCCCCACAATGTCAGGTAACCAGCCACCTGCACCGTGCAAGGACAAGAGGCAGGGCTGGAAGGGGCCAGAGAACGTCTGGTGGATGAGAGTCTGGTCACGAGACAGTGTGACAGGGTAGGTGCTGACACTACCGGCAGTCCTAAAGAAACCTTCTCTATACCAAGCATATGGCGGGCACCAGAGCTGTGCGCCTTCCCCTCGAGGCCAGCGACTTCCTTTGTTTTCTTTCACTGTTGTCTGAACAACGTCATGAGATTCAAGGAGAAACCTTAACTCGCGTGAAACTCTGCATGGCTTTTATAAACTTAGATTGACCTCCATCCTCCTGGCTGGCATCTTCCTCCTGGAACTGTAACCCTGGCTTGTTTTGGAAATGGTCCTCACCAGGCTGCTATACCAGCATCCCTTTTGTCAGAGCATTACTGAAATCCTCCCATTCATTTTCATATGTTCCCATATGTTCTTGTGTATTTGTTAGGAATCATTTTTACAGGCCAATATGGGATATTGACTGTTATAACGCATTTGATAAAAAGACATTTCATTGTGTTTGGAGCATTGGTCAGCTTCTTCCCCTTAGCTGGCATGCCCGTATCCATTTCCCCAGATGTGCCATTTTATATAAAGTTTAATCATTAATTAGTACAGAGGTAGAAATTCAGCAGAGAATCTACAAGACCACAGGGTAGCATAATTGAGTTTTAAATGTTAAAATAACAGTTAGACTAACGAGAATAACTCTGCTGTGTGAGCGTAGGCCCTGGATTGGGCGGCGGTGGCAGACACAATCCCACACAAGCCCATGTCATCAGTTGCTCTCATTTCCACGTGTGCTGGTGTGAGCCTCTCACTATACAGTGTGATTGTTGGGTTTCAAGACAGTCACGTCTTGAACAGCACAGGTCCTCCCCTTTGTGCTTTACCAGTGAAGAAAACCACCTGTTCCAGATGGAGCGAAAACCAGCTGTCTTTGAGATTAAGGTTGTGGTTACACGGATTACGCATGTGTTTATCGAAACTCATCAGACAACCGTGTGCAATTTGTGGTACCCCACAGATAAGTTTTTAAAAAGAGAACGAGATGTGGGAAGTAAAATCTTTGAGATCTTGTATATCTGAAAATATCTTTATCTTCCCACACATTGATTGATAACTGAGTACAGACATTTAGGTTAGAAATACCTTTTCTACAGAACGTTGGAGGAAATCTTCCATCATCTTCTAGCTTTTCCAGAATCGCTGTTAAGAAGTTGTAAGCTATGATTACTGATTGATTCTTTTTATGTGCCCTGATTTTTATCTCTGGAAGTTTATAGAATTCTTGCTCAGTATGCTTTTTGTAGGTCTATATTCACCCACTGTGCTGGGCATTCAGTGGGCCATTTCAATCTAGAAACACGTCCTTCATTCTTGGAAAATAGAGTTTCATTTCTGCTATTGTGTTTTTAATTTCCAAGAGCTCTTTTACTTATTCCTCTCAATATTCCTTTTTAAAATTAATAAATAGTATTCTGTTCTGTTTTCTTCTTTCATGAGTCTGTATCTTCCCATGTCTTTGATGAGGCTAATGGTAGCTTTTATTTTTGTTTACTCTGTGCATAATGTCTGTTTTCTCCAAGTTGCTGTTTTTTGGGGGTGGGTAGGGCTCTTTTGGTCTTTATCTCTCATGTTACAGCATTTCCATAGGTGTCTGGTAAACCTTGGTAGTCTAGCCATGTTTAAGGGTGGCGGACGCAAAAGCTGACGGAAGCTCTGAGCACACGGGAGGACTTGTCATTCCTGAACTTCCCTGTAGGTGGAACTGCTGCCCATTTCTTAGGCGATAACTTGTCCCTGTTTTAGGGCTTTCCTCTTGGGCTGGATGGTTTTTCTGCAGAAGATTCCCAGTCTCCTGGTGAAGGACAGAAACCGGGGTGCCAGAGTTTTTCGGAGGAGAGGTGTGGGAAGCTGGCAAAGGGTCTCTGCCTTTCGCGTGCACATGCGCCCTCAGTGCCCGGTGTCTGCCGCAGTGCCTGTGTCTCCTCCCAGCTGTGCCTAGTGGCCCAGTCCAGAGGCCTCTGTGTCACCTCTCCACAAAGTTAACCTGTGGTCTGCAGCACTGAGGCAGATGATCCAAGGGCTGAAAATTTTCTAAAACAGCCTACAAGCCATCATACTTGTTCTAACCTACCCCTTCCACCCGTACTTCAGAGAAACCTTGTGCTGCGGTTTGCAGAGCTTATTAAAGGTTCTCTTCTCTTCTTTTTTGATAAATAGGCTTAAATAAGATTGCTTTTCTCTACTGCTGGCTTAGAACCCAGCTTTCTCAATTCTGCTAAGTCAGTTAAAATACATTCCTTTGCCAAAGTCATAGACAGATTAAATATTATCCTTAAAACATGACTCACTTGCCTTATTTACTTAGTTAATTGGTTACTTTTGATTTTGTAATCAGTATCTCTTAACCTACCCCCCAAATCAAAGGCTGAGACCTTGGCAATTACCTACATCTAACCACACATCCATCCCCCATTGCCCACTTTTGTGCCTTCCTGCACCCAAAGTAATCAGCATCCTGAATGTTCATCACTTCCTTTCCTTTTTATGTAGTTTTATATCATCTGCATGTGTTCCTATAAAGTATATATTTTTATTTTGGTTCCTTTTAGCTCTATGTAAAAGGGTATCATGCTGTAATCTATTGTATAAAAAATCTTTTATTGTTCACTTAATATTACAGAGTACTAAAATCTGTCCATATTGTTACCTGTCACAGTAGTGTATCCATTTTCACTGCTATGTAATAGTCTATCTTGTGAATATATTTTCCTTCCAGCTTCCAAAATTTCACTATTGTTTGTTTCTCCTCCTTTTCTCCCTTTTCTTGTGGATTTTTTTTTTTAATATTTACTGTAGTACTAGTCGGATTTTAGGAAGGGACAAAATTAGATGTGTGTATATCATTTTATCTGAGTTACCTAAGTGATCATCACAAGTAATTTTGACTATATGAGATGTTTTTACTATACTAACTTTTAGAGCCTATACCCTGTATACAATGGGACTCCACTGTACATACTCTAAACCTTGGTTATTAGCATTAATCGATGACGCCTAATAATAGAAAGCCAGCAAGGACTTCTGTGGCCATCCAGTCCAACTTACAACCTTGTCAAGGAATGTTCCGGGTCAGGATGCCACAGATAATACTATCTGACCTTGGAGGTACCTTTCAATAATTATAATTGAAAGAAAAATGATGATATTTTAGTTAGCTTTTGTAACCTTACTGTAATTAAATATATGGTTTCCATTAGACTTATTTAAATGTTGGAAACAGCCTAAGGGCCCTCTTAGCTGCCACTGGGGAAACCTAGGGGTCTAGGAGCCCAGGTTAAGGCTGCAGTTCTGAGCACCATATAATAAAACAGAAGTTGAACCTTTTCTTATCTTTTTTCCATTGCAGGGATGTGATCAAGTGGTTGGTCAAAGTGGTAACTGAAGACGGATTACCTCAGCCCCCCAATGGGAATCAGACCTCTTCACGAACAGGAACCTTGAAGGCTAGCAGTAGCTACCCTTGTCCCCAGCCAAACCTGACAAAGAACACCACTCAGCTGTAAGGGGCAGGCGGAAGCTATCTTTCCTGGGGCTGTTGGGATTTACTGTTGTAGAGAACCACCACTCCCTAAGATCAGGTGACCCCAAATTAACAAGCCCTTGGAACAGAATGAGTCTTACTAAAGACTATTTTTTTTGACCAAAGGCTCAATTTCTAATTCCAAAGGTAGGACAAACGCAGACGCTTTCTCCCAAATGGCTAGGACTTCACTGAGTGAATACAAACTCACAAAGCTGAAGTGGAACCAGAAGAGGCACACAGCCCCCCTCTCCTGGATTCTAAGAGACCGCACAGGGTTACAGCCTGGCATCCGTTCAGCCAGCCTCTGGCAGGAGAGGAGGCGCCGTGGGTAGGGGGCGTTCCCGCAGCCTCTGCTTTGTGTCTGACTCCTCCAGCCTGAGGTCAGAATGGCAGTTCAGCCTGCAGGTTCCGACGTGTTATAACAGCAATGGCTCAGACCAGGGCAGGTCCCATGACCTCAGGCCACACTGAGAAGATTCCTGGCATTTCTTTCATGGGGTTGAGGGTGGTCTTGGCATTTTTTGAGAGATGCCAGGATTTTAGGGGCTGGAGTTGCCTTTGCACAAGTAAGCCACTACTCCATGTCAATCATACTGACATTTGTCCCTAAATTCACAATGCTGTAGTATAATCTAGTTGCACCAAGCTGATTTTCAAATGAGACCTATATGTTTTAACTAATTCAGGAGACAATCTTGTATCTAAAAGGAGAATGTTTTAGAATGAAGGATTTACTTGGGCAGATTGGGAGATCCAAGGGAGGCAGACACTGTTCCTTCAATGGAAGCTAATCTCATATAAATAACAACAACAGTCAATGTATTATAAGTAAATAGTAGCAGTAATAAAAATAGGGCCCTCTAACAGTCGCTTCGTTATTATCTTAACAATGACAGGCGCTACCGTTCACCATTAACGAGTGCCTGTCTGCTTATAGCTTACAGGACACTCACAATTTTATGAAAAGAGGTGGTATTAGTTATCTGTCAAAAGTTGGCCAGCTTGTCACTGCAGACCCAGAATCTGATGCCAAAGATCCTAGTCTACCTGTTGTGTCACTGGCTGCAGATTTTCTGAAAACAGAGCCCTTTCTTCCATCACAAATAATAATGCGTGTTTGAAAAGGCTGACTTCAGGCCAGGCTCACCTTTCTGAGGGGTTGCCCAGATTCCTTGTACCACATCAGCCTGGTGCCGTCTGATGGGCGAGAGGGTCACGTTCCTCCAGTTGACGTTCTGAGACGGGACTTAGTCAACATTAGTGTAAAGGAATCAGTCACAGGAGAAGACTCTGTGGTAAACATCTCTTTTCCCCTGTATCAAATAAATTCAAGTAATTGTTAGTCATTCTGGACCTGTTTCTTCATCTGTAAAATCGAGAAGTTATAGGTTAGCTGATCCTTACAGTTCTCTAGAGCCTTAAGATTGTATGTTTCTATTTTTGAATTTAAAAGCAGCTTGCTTTTGCAGCTCACCCCCAGGTTCTGAGAGGTTCAGATAGTATGATCTGGCAGAGGGATTCAGGTAGGTGAAATTGCTAACTTCAGGCATGCTGATGGCTTGAGTAGTTCTCCCTGACCTAGTGTGTGCTTCTCAAGACCCTGTAGTCCATGGGGGGGCCTCCGACCAGCAGGGTGGCTCCTCGCCAGGCCTCCTGCTCACTGCGCTCTGTGTTCTGGACTCAGGGTTGTCTGCCAGCTGCAGAGGATGCTGTCCATCGCTGTGGAGGTAGACAGGACCCCCACCTGCAGCTCCAATAAGATCGCTGAGATGATGTTTGGCTTCGTGCTGGACATTCCCGAGAGGAGTCAGAGGTGAGTCTTAATTTTGTTTTTGGTTTTTATTCTGGGTACAGGGCTTCGAACGAAAATTCCAAATAGTAGTTAAATTGAGGGGGAAAAGAGGTGGAGGAGTAGTTCCTGTCTCTAACCTTGTAAAAGAAAGCCGTTCTCAACTAATTGTTATTGCATCTAAGGCATAATTTTGGGGGGAAGAGATAGGATACCTTAAATGGAGCCTAAATTTTCCTACTTTGTCCATGTGGCTTACAATTTCACTGGTCCATCAAGGTTCAGCTGTTAAGCATGACCTTCTCCCCTGACCCTCAGCTATAGCACCTGGCATAACTGTTCACTAAAGGCTGGAGAGATGAATGAAACAGGCATGTCTGATATTAGAGGGAGAGGTGACCCAAGAATGAATAGGGCTGGACCTGTACTAAGTATCTGGACCTGGACCAGATAGTAAGAATAAGGAATTCAATTCCTTTAAGCGTGAATTAGTAAAGCATTCCATTAGGGGAAGATAAAGAAATAGAGTTCTTGGCTAGACTTAATGATTCCGTCTTTGAACTAGTAATTGTAGAATCCAGAGGAAGAAAAATAAACTGGAAGAATATGAATTGATGAACAGTTGCTGGTACAGGAAGTACCTATGAGAGAGCCAATGTCCAGTGGTGACCCTTGGGGAAATTATCTGTCAGCTCTTTGTCTGCCTCTCATCCTCATCCCCTAAGCTCCCAGTTGGCAGCCAAGACTATTCTTGTACAGCTCTGGTTTCTCTATTAAAAGAAAATGTCATACCAAATAGTACTGTAATAAAGGTTTAATTAAATTACCCTGCTGAGAGGAAGACAAGCACTGGATCCCTATAATGTGTCAGTCATTGTCACATTATCTCATAATTCCAAGAAACTTTGTAACATTATTCCTATTTAACGAATGAGAAAAATACTCAAAGTAGTGAACTAACTAGCCCAGGGTTACAGAGCTGATCAGATTCAGAATCCAAATTTAAACCCAGGACTGCTTCCCTCTCAAGTTCAATGTTCAAACGAGGCAGAATGGCACAGCAGGCAGTAAGAAGGAAGTGTGCATAGGTGCCATGCTTGTTCTGCCACTTTTCCAGGAGTTTTGCATTTGCGTCCAACTCTCACACCTAATTCATTCATTGAAGCCCAGATTCTGGTGAGAGATGAGAAATCTAAGGAATGGGTAACTATAAAAATTTAGACTTAACAGAGACAAAAATAATTTAAATAAAATCTGGCCCTACTTTAAAACTCTCTCAGAAGGGGCAAATTGGCAACCACCCAAATTATACTAGGAGATACTTGATATGACCTTTACCTTGGTTTATCTTCATTTTTTAAAGTTTAGGTATAATTTACACACAATTAAATTATATAAACTAATTTCATAAGTATCATTCCATGAGTTTTTTGACAAATGCATACATCCATATGACCTATTATTTTTCTAGTAGCTCATGGATAGTATATAGAAATCCTGCAACCTTGTTAAATTCATTCTAATAAGAATATTTTTGTGGTTTTCTTAGGATTTTCTACATACAAAATCATATTGTCTGCAAATAAATAGTTTAACATCTTCCTTTCCAATCTGTATGGCTTTTGTTCTTGCCTTATTGCATGGGCTTGTACTGCCAGCAGAATGTTGGAGAAGGGATGAGAGCAGACATCCTTGCCTTGTTCCAGATCTTCGTGGGGGGAGACATTCAGTTTTTGACCATTAAGTGAATTTTGTGTAAATGGAATCATACAGTAGGTAACCTTTTTGGATTGGCTTTTTTCACTGGAGTCATTCAGGTTGTTATGTGTGTCAGCAGTTCATTCCTTTTTATTGCTGAATAGTATTCCATGGTATGGGTGTACTGTGGATTTCTTTTAACCACTTACCCACTGAAGGAGATCTTTGCTGTTCCCAGTTTGGGGCTATTGTGACTAAAGCTGCTATAAACATTCATGTACAAATCTTCATGTAAACATTAGTCTTCATTTCTCCGGGATAAATGCCAAAGGGTGTGATTTTTGCATCATATGGTAGTTACCTGTTTAGCTTTTGAAGAAACTGCCAAACTATTTCGCCGACTGTCTGTACCATTTTACATTCCCACCAGCAATACATGAGTGAGGTGGTTCCTCTGCATTCTGCCCAGCATTTGGTGGTATATTTTTCAGAGCTAGGCTTTCCATGCAGTTCATTTAATAGTTTCCATTTGTCTTTGCTGATAGTCCCCATCTAGTCACTCATTATGTACATCTTGGTGGGTTAGTTGGTTGGTTGGTTTTTTAACCTTGAGCCTATTTATAATAGCTGTTCTAAAGTCCTGTATCACCTCTTAGTCTGTTTCCTAGACATTCTACTCCTGGTTATGGATCACATTTTCCTGCTTTTTCCTTGTCTAACCATTTTTATTGTGTGCTGGACACTGAATGCTGCATTGTTGAGAGTCTGAAATTTGCTGTCTTCCTTTAAAGGGTATTGAGTTTTATTCTGGCAGGCATTTGATTTGCTGGCAGATTAGTTTTCTCCTATTGAGGCTTGTTTCTAGGACTTGTAAGGGTGGTTCTAAAGCAACCCTCATTAAAAGGCTCAAGCCTTGAGGCTCAGCCTTCTGGGGCCTCAGCTGACAGCCCGGTGTTTAGTGAGACCTCTCCACTCTAGCTCATTGAGGCCCCAGGGTCTCTCAGCCCTGGGGGAGTGCCAGAATCCCTGCTCAGCTCGCAGCCCCCCCACAACCCCCCCACCCCCAGTGGCTATTCTCTTAGACTTTTGGAGCTTCTCCCTGCACCTGTGTCAAAGGGGCTCCTTACACACATTTCTTGAGCTCCCTCTTCTCTGACGCAAATAGCAGCCACCTCAGACGTCCTGAACTCGTTTCTGTGTATTCTGCCCACTGCTTTCTGTTTGGGACCCACACTTTCCTCTGCCTTAGTTAGAAAGTGTCCCTAGCAATAAATCTGGGGTAAATGTAGGGTTGAGCACCTTCGTCTCCCTTCTTTTGGGAAAACAGTCCTTTATAAAAGCAGCTAGTCCAAAGCCTGAAAACAGTTATTCCCTATATTTTGTCATTTTAGAATTATTTGACAGGAGGATAAATCCAATACCAGCTTCTCTGTCAAGGCTGAATCTGGATGTTGGCCTTCCTCTTTGTCTTGTTTTTAAAATTTGAATTTAAATTGCTATAGATAACTGTACCTCCATTTCTTACTATGTCTAATACATTAAAATTACCTTCTTGTCCTCTGTATCTCTGAGTTTGCCATCTGTAGAATATAAAACAAGGACAAATGCAGGCCCTGGAATAAAAATTGGGAGAGAAAATACAGTTTGAAATAAAAGGTTATTGAATAGGAAAACTGTCTTGTGAGAGTAATAAGCCAAATACAGAGCAGAAACTAGACTTTGAAAGAATTTGGGGAATATCTTACAACTGTAATCATTTGGAGTTGTGTTAAAAGAAAATTTGCCAGAGAGGACATAGAAAATGATTTTTTAAATATTAAAGAGGTAAAATGGATTTTTCATAAATATTGTAGACATTTTTAAATTTTTGAATAGTAAGAAGCAGTTTTAAAAATATTCATTCTGCTTCTTTTATTTTGCTTTATTACAAATAATGTATGTGCCTGGTAGAAAAACAAAGAGACAGGGTAAAAAAAAAAAAAAGGATACTTTGTTATTTATCATTTTTATAAATGGCAGTGGCACAGAGTCCCCTCTTTTTCTAGATGTTGCAGAAACGCAAAGGGGCAGGATGTGTAGGAGAAAGAACTCTCGGAGCTGCTGGCTGGCTGGGTGAGCCATGCGTTCCACCTGCTGCCACTCCTGCGCTCGCAAGCGCGTGCTTCCCAGAACTGCTATGGCTAGCAAATCTGGCAAGGACCGCCCAACAAACCTTCAGTCCAAATCTTCGGGCAGTCCAGGGAAGCACGCTGTGCAGCTGAGAGTCATAATTTTTTTTTGGAAGCTGACCTCGCTTTTAGAACAATGAACTCCATTTGCCTTCCTGAAGCACAGCTCCAGCTGTGTGGCCCTCCTGCTCTGAACAGGCTCCAGCCCGTCCCTGCTGGTCAGGCTCCGCGCTGGGTAGAGGGACAGAGCCAAGGGCAAGCGTCCCTCGGGGACTCTCAAGTCCTAGACTTGAAATGTGCGAAGCTGCAGGGCCACAGTTGTGGTTTTCGCTTCTTTGGTCTTGCCCATGTTTTTCCCTCCATTGGAATGCCTCCTGCCTTGAGCCTCCTCTGATGCTCCTTGCCCACTGTCACCAGCGCCTCCTCTCTGAGAAGGCCACTTCCGGTCCCCTGCCGTCTTCCTATATCTCTGGGGACCACAGCACCTCGCACACCTGTGCACCTGCCCTGCACTGTGCGTCTCTTGCCCTGTTCAACTATCAGCCTTTTGAGACCAGTGCTCGGTTATTCATCTTAATATTCTTTGCTGTGCCAAGCAGTATCTAGCACATTGTGGACGTTCAGAACTATTTATTCTCAGTATTAATTCTTAGTCATGGTATGAAGTAATTCTTTTTAATGTGTCCTAAACATGTCTTTTACAAACGTCAAAGACTTTCCCTGCTCCTGGCAGTTGTGAATTCATGAACAAAGCCATTTCGTCCACAAGCGTGGTGGTTTTGTGGGCGTTCACCCTACCCTTCCTAGCCGTCTCTGTCCTGGGGCCCACACTAGCACCTTTGGGGAAATGGTGGCATGTGTCCCTGCACTGGCAACTGTGATGGGCAGCCCCTCTTCCTCTCCCCACGCAGAGAGATGTTCTTTACCACCATGGAGAGCCACCTCCTGCGCTGCAAGGTGCTGGAGATCATATTCCTCCACAGCTGCGAGACGCCCACCCGCCTGCCCCTGTCTCTGGCCCAGACCCTCTATTTTCTGAACAATTCCACGTCACTGCTCAAGTGTCAGGTACGTGTTTCCTTGCCTCGAACACCTTTCCCCTAATGCCTGAGCATAATGTAAAAGTGATCTGAAAACTCAAAGCCTTTAACCGAGGAGGCCATTTATTACTGAGTGCTCTCACTGTCTCCACAGTCAGATAAAACCCAGTGGCAGACATGGGACGAGCTGGTTGAGCACCTACAGTTTCTGTTATCCAGTTATCAGCATGTTTTAAGAGGTAAGGAGCATTTGTTCACAAAGACGGGGCGGGAGTCTGACGGTGGACGTTGTTATGATGAACGTTACCTAGGGGGTTCTAACTTGTCAGCTCACATAGAGCATTGTTCCTTGGTTGTACCTGTAAGGAACAAGGAGTGACACAGCTGGAAACAGGAAGTCACACGTTTCTGTGATGGTAGGTGACACACTGGTCCTTACAGCGTTAGGTTGTGTAGATAAGCGAGAGTCGTCATAACAGGAAGCGGTCAATGATGACCTGATGAGCCCTGCCTGGCACCTTCCCCTGGCCCATCGCTGCAACATCTTTGGTGGGGTGACTGCTGCTGACTGGACACTGCACACACCTGTCGGTATGATGCAAACACACAGCAAATCAGTGGCAAGGTGGAAATGGACATCCTACAAAATTTAAACAGATTAGATAATAAAATTGTATTACTATTAAATTTCCTATTTTTGATAATTATCCTGGCTTATGAAAGTAAATGTTCTTGACCTTGGGAAATCCACACTGAAGTACTGAGGGTTAGAGGGGCGCAGTGTCTGCAACTTATTCCCAAACAGGAAGGGGGAAAGTGTGTAAATAAAATTTACCTGCCGTGATCACATTGCAGTTGATTTTAGCTCAGTAATGGCACTTGGGGAGGTCACATAGCCCTTACACCCTCTCGGGCCTACAACTGAGGAAGCTGTTGTAGGGACATTAAAAAAAAAAAAGCACTCGATTTAAGACAGAATGTCGCAGCTTAAATCCCCACCTCAGCACTTAACTCTGCGTTGGGCAGCTAACTCTGCCTCTAGGCCTCGGTTTCTTCCTTCTGTCAAATGGGGATGGTGTTATCTAACCTGTCAGGGCTGGCTGCAAATGGGTGTGAGGAAAAAGCAGTCAGCACTCATTCAGGAGCGGGCTGTGAGGCCTTCCCTGTTTCAGGCTCTTGTAACTAAAACTTAACAGGGTGCATGGTCAAGGCCACAATTCTGTGGTTGTACAGCTTGTGCATTTTTTAGCATGAATGGCTTCCTAGGACAAAGCCCCAAAGGCAAATTCCATGTGTCTTTAGCCTCACTGAGGCTTATGTAATTGTTTCTTCTGGAACCGTAGCACAAAGTTGAATATTAAAGCAGCTGGTTTTTTATTTAAAGTTCACCTTTAACACTTCTTGTTCATTTCTGTTTTGCTTCCCAGGGACTATGCCTGGGTTATGGGCAATAGTGAGTTAACATGGACATGGGATCCGGTTTTATTCTTATGCTTCAAATATTCTTATGCTTAAGAATAAGGGTGAGGAGGGCCGGCAGAGTGGCTCAGTTAGTTGAGAGCTCGCTCAAGAGTTTGAGCTCTGAGCAACAGCGGTTCGAGTCCAGCCCGAGCTGAGCAGCCGCTGAGCTGCCAACAGGTAGCAGGATGGCT